TGTTCCTTTTCTCTAACTCGTATTTTTTTGTCACATGGATTGTTGTTTTTGCTACTTCTATACAGTAAGGAATTATGGGGAAAATTGTGCTATGAAGTGAAATTCATTCAGACTATAGGACACTATGGATGACTATAGTCATATATAGTAATGTTACTACATGTTACTATAGTCATATATAGTAACATATAGTCATGTCTTAGTCATATATAGTAACATATAGTCATGTCTGGATTATGTGGTTTTTTTTTAATGTAGAGTGATGATGATGATGATTTGTTAGTTTGTTGAAGAACATATGCATATATCATTGTGTATTTTGATCTATATTTTGAATCGATGGTTTGAAATTTGAGGATCAAGTGGATGTGATTTCTCTTATGTGTTCTATCTTTTTGGCTAATCGAGCCGACGAAAAATATTTGTGCTCGGTGAGATAGTGTTCAAATTTATATGTTATACACAGTGTCTTTGACATATGAAATTTTGTTGTGCAGGATGATGAAAAATCCGTATTACGAAGAGAGAAAGAAGCAGATAAAATGAGTATACAAGCTTGAGCCCTCCTTCTTGCATTTCTTTTGATGGAAAGGTTTAATAGTTTTTTGCCATAGGCTCGTGTGATTCTAGTTTCGTTTAAATAATTTTTTTTACCATGTTTCTAACGATTTTTGTTATGGTTTTTTTTTCCAATAAGAGCACGGGTAATGCAATTGCAGAATGTTTTTCCCGATCGTAACTTGGCTGTACTTGTTTCAGTGTAGGAGAGATTTGCGTTATCAAGTCATATACAGTGACACGTGGTTATATACATATAGTCATATATAGTCACGTGTAGTCATATACATGTAGTCATATATAGTCACGTGTAGTCATATACATGTAGTCATATATAGTCATGTGTAGTCATATACATGTAGTTATATATAGTCACGTGTAGTAACTCGTAGTAATACATATTGTTATATATAAGCTATATAAGTTATGTGTTTTTTCTGATATATAGTGATGTTGATGATTGTGTTTTTCCAATTTTTTGTTGGGTATTAATTAATTTGTAATATCAAGATTTAAATTGTGAATTTTTGTTTTTGGGGTGTAGATGAAGTTTTTTTATATAATCATATGTAATATATATACAATAGTCATGTGTAGTCAATTTCAATACAGTAAATTTATCAAAAAATTGAAACAAAATTAAAAATTAAAAATTAAAAAAATTAAAATTTAAAAAAATTAAAAAATTACAAAAAATTAAACAATTTTAAAAAATTAAAAAAATTAAAAATACAACAGAGGTATATATAAAAAATAATAATAAAAAAATAATTTATAATTTTTTATTAAAAAAATATGATAATATGATAAATGCAGGTCTAAATGCTAATTGCAGTTGACCATAATGCTGAATGCAGTTAGCAAAAATACTGAATGCAGTTGGGCAAAAATTGGATATAAGGGCACAATAGTACTTTTGCCTCTCCAGGGGGTTATCTCAAATGAAGAATTTTAGGGGTGGACCTCCCCCTATATATTTTCCATATTAAGGGTGATATCAAATGGACCCATATATATATATATATATATATATAGGGTAAATTACAAACACCCCCCTGAGGTCACTGCGTCAAATTACAAAAACCCCCCTCTTGTTTGGATAATT